GCAATATGTCTAAAAATAACATGAATGATAAATAATTTATAAATGACTTACATTTTATATTTCGTTGCTCCGTATGTGTTGTTCGATGTTTTTCTCTCTTTTCTCCTTTTTTCGTTCTTTGCTATTTCTTGGTAGCACTCACATTCACTTCCGAAAATACGAATAATAATAATTAATTATATATGGAACGATCGCGAGACACTTTGCACGACACTCCCGATCGCGGAATAATTACATGAGAAATGCATTTTTTAACATATCGTAAAAAACAGAAGATACGAGAGAAATACTATTTTCGTTCGATATTTATATAAAGTTTCAAATTCATGCTCTATTCATTACAAATGCTCCGTTTTATTAATATTATATTAACATGAATTATAAAATCGAAAGATTAATCTAATTGAAAATCATGATAACCGTCCAATTAATAAATTCGATAATATATGAAGAGTATCGTTTCGCACTATTATCTTGCTCGAGTGTCGCCGTATGAATGATACCAAGACCGCGGAATGTAAACATTACCGCGCTATTGTATACGCCGTCAAGGCTAAACATTGTATTATTGTCTGTTCGAAATATTTTATGTACTTTGACAAATATATACGCGAAATTATAAAATCGAAAGATTAATCTAATTGAAAATCATGATAATTGTTCAATTAATAATAAATTCGATAATATACGAAGAGTATCGTTTCGCACCACTATCTTGCTCGAGTGTCGCCAAACAAGGCGATCTTACCTTCGAACAAGAGTTAAGTCCGAAACGGAAGAAAACTATCGATTGATGGAATCAACGCGAATGAAGTTCACTCGACTCTTGTCCGCGCATAATATCCTACGTCTCGCGCTATTACATTTTTGTTCGAGAGTCGCCGTGCGAATGATAATAGAATCGAGAGCCGAGATACAGTAGCGCGTTTTTGTTTACGTCGCCAAGGTTGAACACATTGTATTATTAATAATTCGTAGTCATGAAATATTTTACGTGCTATGATTGTATTTTATATTGTATATTATATTATATTTTATATCGATTATATTATTAATGCAAATTAATTATTCATTAATCACATATTATATAAATTTAATGAAGCTTCGATACCTGAATGTACTCCTTTTCTGTTGTTCTTTCAGGGCAGTGATAAAATACTCATTCGCGAAAACGCTATTTAATTATGTTTAGACATGTACTAATCAACAATCAATCAGAATATGACAATCGCACGATGCTTTGAATGACACTCTCGACAAACATGAGACTGATATTTTATTCTATTATAACTTTATTGTAGTAAAAAAATATAAGTTGCACGAGATACTTAGTTAGTGAGAAATCAAATATTAATTATTTATAACAATGTCTCATAATAATCATTTATAATAACCGTAAGAAATGATGGAAAGAATGCGATATATGCGAAGCGACTTTTGCCGCATCTCTTCCGAATTGTATCGTGCGAATGACAACAAAAATGTTCCCGTATAAACATTGTGTTACAAAGAACGAAGGCCAAACCGTGTGTGAAGCCCGAACAGTTAATTTATTCGTTATCGATGAATATTTAATATAAAATAAAGAGTATCGACAAGTGCCCATGAGCTTGTTACCCAAAATTTTCTCAACTAGAGATTGGACTTTATTTTTGACTTAAAGTTTATGATACTTTGGAGAAAATAATTGAGAAAATAAGTATTTTTTTAAAAGGATAAAAATTAAAATTAAACGATAATTTAGTCCATCTATTCGCATATCCGTAATCTATGTGTCATAAACTTTATTTTAAAAATAAGCTGTCTCGAGTTGGCAAAATTTGGCACAACAATTATTATGTTAAATATTATGTTAAATATTCTATTCTTTGAATTTCTAGAATTATTAATAAACGATATTGATGATGACATTTCAATACTTATAAATTATTTGATTTCACGATTCACATTTCATCTATGCGGATCGTTTTTATTCGAAAATGTTCAATAAACTTGATTTAAATCGATGATAAATTTAAATCGCGAGATATAATCGAATTCAAGTATCGTTAAAAAAATTATCAGCTATAAAGATCGCACAAGGAGAAGATAATTTATAATTCCTATTATTTATCTCTTAAAATCTTGTTGAAATATATATTTTTATGTAAAATCACGCACTTCGTTCTTCGCGTTTTATTTAAGTCAAAGTAACCGTGAGGAATGATCGAAAAATAATGCGATATACGGAGCGGCTCTGTTTCCCGTCCCACTCGAGTCTCATCGCGCGAAGGATACAAAGGCAACCGTGTAAACATTGCCCTACGTCACAAAGAATGAAGACCACGTAATAGTAATTCGTCGTCGACGAAATATTTCATAAAATAAATTTTGTTAAATATTCTATTTCTTGAAATTCTCAAATTAATTATTAATAAACATTATTAATGTATCGCGATATTTCATTACTTGTGAATTATTTGATTATGCGCTTCATATTTTATCTGCGAGAATCATTTTCAATCTGAAAATGTTTGAGAACTGCATTTAAATCAACGACAAATTTAAAATATAAAATATAATAAAATTCAAGTGTCGTTATAGAAACAATTATTGGCTATCTCAAAGGAAAATTACAAGAAAAAGTTAATTTATAATTTTTATCATGTATCTTTTAAAATACTTTTTGTTCTATTGACGCGATGGAACGAAGTGGCCTTTCCCTGATTGATGTTGACTTATCGCTTTTTCAATCTCTTGAACTCATAAGTATACATTTCGATTTCAACGCATTCCACAATCTCGAATATCACTATCGTTGACAATAAATGTCCTCTTTAAAATTTTCTTAGTCATTGCTTTCAAGTTTTTACTAAATAATGTATTTTTTCATTTTTAATATAATTATGCTCAAAATACAATAATTATATGTGTATACTGTTGCTATAAATTTTAAAACAGAAAATAATTTGTGTCTTAGAAACAATGACTATTTGTTTTAAACTTTGCACAATATAATAAATAAAAATATTTTACAAATGTTGTAATATTTGTAAACTTTGTAAAATCATTGCATTGACGAAGTTCAATCATTTTAATTGTCTTATATATATATACATATATATATATATATATATATAATGTTGGTAGCAAACCAGAATGTAATCGTTCGATTAATTGATTAAATACTTATATATATCGAATATATCGACTTATATATACGAATTAATCGAACGAATGCATTCCGATTCATCTTTTCGTTTGGTATATATAAATATTTAATTCACTATTCAACTGATTGCGTTCCGACTCGCTTTTTTATTCGATATATATAAATATTACATTTAAGTGTGAGTCCAAGAAGCAGATTTCGAATATTCACTGTAAGTCAGCCGCTCCTCGGGCGATCGGGACGAGATTTAAACGGTAGTGCCACGAAATGGTGTAGAATTTTATCCAAAAAGAACGAAATCGCTATCGCATCCGGAAGTTGAGATATAAATTGGCCGTTTTTCGTCTGCATGCGGACGATCGAAATCGTGCACAACGCCGCGCATGTTACCTGCCTCTCTCGCGTGATACGCACTATAACGCGGCGAGTAAAATGGCAAGCCAAATGCAATATATATATATATATATATATATATATATATATATACATAGAGAGAGAGAGAGAGAGAGAGAGAGAGAGAGAGAGAGAGAGAGAGAGAGAGAGAGAGAGAAAGAGAGAGTTTAATAAATAATTCTTTAATTAATCTATAAATTAAATTCTCTCTCTCTCTCTCTCTCTCTCTCTATATATATATATATATATATATATATATATATATATATATATATATATCACGACGACTTTCATTATGTTAATTACTTGAATCTATTCGACTGTTTTACTGAGCTTTTCTAAAGTCATACTAGTCGCGATCACGTTTAGAAATAAAATTTGATAATATATACAGAGCGTTTCGCATCACTACTTTATTATTCGAGTGCCTGATAGCAGGTGATAGCATGAGTGAATGATAACAAGATCAGCACGTAAACAATAGCTTGCTAGTTATACGCTGCCGACATCGAACATTATATTATTAAATTGTTATTCGTTACCGAAATATTTTACGTACTGTGATATATATATTTTAAAAATATGAAATTATTTAGAAATATTTTAATTTAGAGATTAAAATTAAAGAATTATTTATTAAACGATTGATGTATTACGAAACCTTATACTAATTATTTGGTTTTATGATTCGATTGTTTTACTACGTTTTTCCAAAGTTATATTTTAAAATATAACTTTTAATTTTGAAATTTGAAAAACTGACTTTCAGGGAGCTAAATAAATAAATAAAAGTTGAGAACAAAAGGAATACATAGTAAATAAATAAATAGTGGTTTTGGAAGAGATATAACACAGTAATAATATATTTTTATATTAAATTTATGTATTTTTATATTAAATTATTATTAATATTAAATTATTAATATAAAGTATATTATTTTAATTTACATTTTACAGGTTTACTTATACCTGTACTACTTATACCTATATATATTCTGATATAATAATTTTCTTAACTGCATTTCTCTTGTTATCAATTATGTTTATAACTTCTTATTTTAGCTATTGTTTTCTAAGAGAAAAAATTAACATATAGTAGACTTTTCAAATTACAATGGATTTTTCAAATTATATATTATAGGAACCGTAAAAGCCTATTCAGACAAACTTGCATAAGCGCATAAACAAATATAAAGATACACATTGGTTCATTTTCTTTCTGCTTATAGATCAATCAATTTTCTTCTGCATATATGCTTATGCGTTATGTAAGTTTGTTTGGATATACGTTAAGACTCTCTGGCTGTCTTTAATTAATATTTCGTCGATGGCCGCGAATGTAATATTCTCATGTAATTTCTCATATAATTATTTCAAAGTTTCGCGGCAAATTTCAACCAATAGGAAGACACGCACCGCCATCTAGGCTGCCATCCTCTTCCGGTGTGTGTCTTCCGAAGTTTCTAGTCTCCGATGCCGCGCAGTAGCAGTGTTTATTTACGTACGCCATCATCGTGCGATTAATTGATCGCGGATTCGCGCGCCTCTGAAACTCGGGATTCGACGCGGACGCGTTTATTATCGTCTCTTGCGAACGCCGTTCAACGTTCGCGCGAAACAGCGAGCACGAATTGTCAAAAATTGACAGGAAGAGGAGAACGAGAAATCGCGGTCGAGGACGTGGGATAATCGGTCGCTAACGCCATCGTCATCGTGCTTCGGTCGCATCGTATGTCGTCATCATCGTTCCTGCTGTCTATATTTCTAACCTATCAGAAAACGGTCATTGCAGTTTGTTGTGTTTGTTCTGGATCCTCCTCCCGAGGCACGCGTCTGTCAAGTCCGATGCTACGCTGAAAATAGCTCGCAGCCAAGTGACGAGTATGGGCGACGAGGACGACGTACTGCCGGCGCGTCTTCAGAGGCTCGAGATTGATCGTCGCTCGACGAGTTGCCCACAGTAAGCGTCTCGTTTGTCAATGAAAAGAAATAACGTTGAAAAACGACGATGATCCCCTTCATTAAGGGAACCCGTATCCTGGCCTACATCTCTTTATATTCGTGATCGTCGAAACATGACGGGTGTTTTAAGCTAGTGTTTCATTTAGAGTCCTTTTATATTGCTAGCATTTAAACTTTAACTTCTCTGTTGATGAACTTGTCTTCTGTTGACCAATCGAGCCATCGAAATGTCTTGCAACTGTGTACTCTTTGCAATCGCGGTCAAGGTCTGACAATAATGTCATGGTACATTTGCGATATACGCCCGGACGTGTCTCGTTCGTCAAAAATTATCATTTGCATTATCGGATTCTCAGATTTGTGCACGATGGTACTGGTCGAGTAAAGTGCGGCTTCTGTCGAGAAAAATATTTTAGACGTTCTATTTTTAGATTCGTAGACATCGAGATCCTGCGATGCTGGAAATAACTTAATAGCGTCGATTCTAGTTTTAGAAAAGAAAAATCAAGTGAGAGAAAAAATAATATTAGTATTATAAAGTAGGATTTTTTGAAAGACTTAAAAAGATACAATATACATAATGTTCATATAAATGATATTTAACAAATAAATAGGATTTTATATATCTTAAATATTATTCATTAAAGCCAAGGACTAAATATTTATTGTAATGTTGTAAAGTGTTTTTCCTTATTTCTCACTGCTGTGGGATATCTTGATGTCTCATTAGAAATATATTGATACAGTTATTTCCAAAGTAAAGATTATAAACAAGATATTTTAGCAGATTTATTATCTTTATGATATATCTTTTTGTAATTTTTCATTCTTTCAGCATTGCAGTGACAGACAAATCAAAGCAGATAAATCTATTCAGGATATTTGGCGAGATTTCTGATAGCAGCTTATTTCGAAGGAGATCAATGCCCAATAGGCCTACCATGTTATCAGTTAGTCCAAAGGGCATTAAAAGTACAACGAATTTCAAGCCGTCTAAGAATGAGAGAGTAGTCGAAAAGACCAAGAAAAACATTGTCCTTAAGGAGGCTATTCTAAAGTTAAGCGCTCCTGGAACCAGCGGTCTTAGTGATAATTCGGTGGATACACTATTCAAAGACACATGTAAACTCAGTATTCCCACTAAAAATTCCAAGATAATCGATCATAAATCAGTCATGAAAGATTTCAAGGCGCTGAAAATCAGTAAAGATTGTAGACAGGCTAAAGATGACACTAGCATTCAGGATGACGAATGCGAAGTCAGCAGTTTTCAGCGTGCTCGCAGTAACACAATGCCGAATCTGAAAAGAGGTCCTGGTCCAGGTGGTGGAGAACAACGAACGCCGATCGGACAATCAGATGCGAGTAGCGGTTCATCTGGCCAACAATTGTCGAGTTCGCCGAACACTTGTTCGGTACAGGCACGTATATCACCACCCTCGTCGAGCGACGTTACGATCGGCGAACTAGCCGGCTATTTTGAAGAGTTCGTCCATATTCCAAAGAAGATGTCGCACATGGCAGAGATGATGTACACTTAATACTGTAAAGTATCTTGAATTATGCATGTACCGGATATAGATTTTTTTTCGACGCAGTTTTTTCAGACTGTGTATATTTCATTCTCTATACAATATCATATCTCTCTCTGTTTATGCTTATAATTTAATTCACTAAATTATTTTTTTAATATATTTATAATAGACAACATTGGCAAAGAGAAAAATGATATTTTAATTTTTGTTTCAATTTGTATATTGTTTCGAAATTATTAAAATATCTTGTATATTTGAAAATATAGTGAGGTATCGATATATTTTCTTTTTTTTCTGTCTTTTACTGTCTGTGTGCACTATTTGTTTTCTTTAGTATATAAAAGGGAATATGGAATATTATATTATCTGTATTTAAAAAAAACTTTTGTATCATGAGAAAGCAGAGTAATTGGTTTTAGAATAAATCGCAATAAACTGAAAATTACTATCGAAGTATTTATCAAGCACCTACACAATCAAGATATTTTTATACGTATATTTCTTTATCTTTGCATATACTTTATCTCACATTTTAGTTATATGACAAATAAAACTGTTCTTTACATAAAAAAGAAAGACATAAAATTTTTTATAAGATATCATTAATAAAAGTGCAGCATTAATATGATACATAATATATTTATCTGCATAGGCTTACGACAATTAATAATAATATAAAGTAATCATTAAATTACTAAATAAGCTTTGGTATATAAACAATGACAACAGTGTATTGATCGTTTTCGCTTTAGATACAATACGAATGAAAATGCACGTCGACGCGCGATGGTGTACGATGTGAAGAAAACTTGAAACGAAAGAGAGCCGGGCTTACAAGAAAATATTGTTGGCTATTTGATGTGCGCATCATGTGAGACAGTTCTGTTCTGTAAACGATTATATCGTGGATAATGGCTATCCTTTTTAATGGTATGATACTTTCGTGGCTACCGCGAAACAATAATATCGATCTTTATATCAAAGTGAGTGAGAAAGATTTGTTCTTATATCACAGATTTACCGAAAATTTTATTTGAGCGGGAAGCCACGACGATAGTCTTTTTCTCCGAGGAATCGCGCGAAATCCACGATTAATTGAGAACGTAATTTTCATTAAGTACAATAGGCGTAAATCGCCGATCTCGCCCTTTGTTAGGTCGCCGTATAATTTAATAAACGTCATTTGTAAATAAAAATATGTGCGGGAACGATACGTCCGAAGTATTTCCTCGATAAGTTCTAGAACGTATAATTATGTCATCAATATTTCAGAATTACATAAATAATTAGAGAATTACATAAATATTTGATTACACCAAAGATTTGAGAATACTACTCATTTACGAAACTTTTCATTTCGCATATTAATAATAAATATAACATTTGTTACAATGTTCAATCGATCGAAACATTATGTACAATTGTGCGAACGATAAAGTTATCGAATAATTAAGATGTTTGAAAAAAGGAAGCTCGCGCGCACACACACATAATAAAAGAGATGTCGTGAATAATCGGACATACAGTTCCCGATATCCCTGTTCGAGAGTAACGCGCGTGGGCTTAATTTTAAACAATATCAGTCTCTAGATCCAGTGGAAAAAGGCCACGACGCCTTTAGCATAATAATTTGTATATGGCCCAAATGTGATCCGAATGAAAACAGTCTACGCGAATATATAACGCGAACGCTTCGGGTCGTTCGACAACTTGTCACTTTTTTCAAACAACAGAAAAGTCTGAGAAACATCTGAAATATGCCTAGAAAAGCGTTTTTTATTCAAATGTTTGTCAGAAATGTTTAAAAAGGCGTTTGAATTTTTCACTCATTCTTTAGACACCATAAAAAAACTTCTAAAATATGTTTTAATTTTTAATCATATCATATATACAAGAATAAGAATTATAAGAATTTTTAATCTTGCAGAAACCTTAGGCGCCCTTACGATGTTTTTGGGACGTTTCTGTTGTCTAGATTGATCTTACGTCAGCGTTCAAACCCTATGCATTTCTAATCTATGATCTACAGCAGCGATCATCATTATCATCATCATCATTATTATCAGCGAAATTTCCAAGTGATCGTTCATCATGAGAAAAACAAGTTTATCGGTATAAAACGCTCATAGAAAAAATGTACTGGACGTAATACACCTACTCTCTAACGCTACGTAAACGCGAAAGCCTTTTCACGTGTGCTTTACCATGCGATGTCGTTATAATTTCATTGAAAATATGCTGCGCGCCGTACTGTGTAAACATCGCCATCAGGACTCCATTTATGGATCTCTAGATCTTTACAAAGTAAGGACCGAAAGTAAAGATTACGTTTATCTTAAACATATCTTTGTTTTACAATATTTAATAAATCATTCTTTTCTCCTGTTAACGTTTCTTTTAATGAAAAAGAAAGACATGAGACTCATATTGCAATGATATTTTAATTTGTCGCGCAATAATTGACAGATATAAGTTCGTCGTGCATCGCGTTATTGCTAAGGATTATTCTATTTAATTGTAGTAAAAAACACATGAAAAGAGGATCGCGTTAAGACGTGGATGTAACAATTTCCTACGCTCGCATGCGCGCAACACACTCGCATTTTGCTTTCGCTTTAATCACTAATATATATATTGTATCATATATATATAATCTATGGCTCATCATGTTTATCGTGATATAGTAAAATGTATACATTCGATATCGATCGCACTTCAGTTAACCAACTCTGGCTTCAATTGCATGTTTCTAAATTGATTTTTTCTGCTATAGAGATAGAAAACGAAACAAAAAAGAATTAAATATCATCTATTCTCTTTACATTAGAAGGTTTTTAGTCATCTAAATCATGGCTTAAATTACGATGTAAAGGAAAACATTTAATTCAATAATTGTTTTTTTTTAGATTGTAATTTAAATCATGATTTAGATGGAAAAAAAATAAATCGTCATTATTAACAATATTGACAGTGATACAGGTCAAGCCAAAAGAACGCATCAATAATCCGAATTAGCACAATTCTTTTTTATATTATATACATTACAAATCTGATCAAGAAATATAATACAGTATTCACATGTATAACAAAACCATCTTCATAGTATCTTTTCGCGCTGCTTTAATAATCTAATTTACGTATTTTATGTTTCTCTTCGCTTCCTATAAAGCTTTAATCGCTAATATTGAAGTAATTAGATAAAATGACGTTTATAAAACCAGAGCTGGTTTGAACCGTCTTTGGCACAATCGATTCCATCGTGTAACACGTCTCACGGAAACGCCATTGGATTCTGGGAAATCGAATGCGGTTCGTAAGAATATTTTTTCTGCCGAACCACGAAGAGAGCAAAATTGCCGATCCCGGCGAGACTGACACGCCTATCACCTAAAAATTTCTATTCTAAATCCGTCGTTTATGTATGTATCTCTTTTTCTTTTTAGTAGAAAATTTACAATTCTTCAAACACTTTGTACGAGTAACATCGATGACTTAAGTTTATCCGAGATTGCATTTCTGATTTTACGATTCCTCTGGGCTGATAAAACCATCGCATTGGTTCACATCGCGACGTAGAGCTCGGAGATATTTTTTTCTTAAACGCATACACGCATTTATCCGGATATTAGTAACTTTCTCGCCTTTCCTATGTACTCTAATTTATATACTCTTCTTGTTTTCTCTCTCCTCAACAAGATCAACGGTACTTCGCAAAAGAGCGTCGTAATTCACACAGTGACTGTCAAAATGACAAAAAAAATTACAACGTCAATTTGTGCGAGGTATTTACTGCGCTTTCACAATGCTTGAATCAGGCTCGGAACATATATTCGTGTATACTTAAGACAACTTATACGCTTAGAAATGCTGATGATATTAAATGCAATATTCAATTGTATTGTGCAAAAAAAGTTATAAGAAAAAAAATTAATAGCAAGCTGTTGGATCTGATTTATCTTTGGCAGACACGTTTTTGTGTATACTCGAGAATTTTTGTCATCAAGAATCATTGTCAAAGAATAAAGTGACCAGATTGCTTTCATGGAATAAAACACTGGTACTTTCGTTAAAGTGATATCATGCTAATTCGCGAGTTTTTTTACAATCAAGATGAAATTATTACGTAGCAATAACAGGCAAGCGTACGTATAAATTCGTATACATTTCTTTTCATATTCTTAGCACTTAAGAGGAATAAATTCGTCGAATGTTAATATCGTCTCGAAAATAAAGCTCCGCGCGACTGTGTGCAACAACTATTCCATTTAAAAATACTCTTTTTTTTCGAGTACCTCTCGGTAAACAAACTACATGAAAAATTCATAGATATCCTATTCAGTCCTCGTTTAAAAATTATGTACTCATGATTGAGTTTCACCACAGGCAATGTAATATCAAAATTTTTCTCGAGGACTGTATATTCAAAAATTGGATTTTAGGAAAATTCGGAATCACGATGAATCGGATGATCCGAGATCAATAAAATACAATGTATTCTCGTACGACAAGTCACGTTCACAATACACGCAAATACACACACGCGCGCGCGCGCATACACTCTTCTCATTTTATATATATCTCGTAATCATACATACTAACATACGATTATATTGTATAATCTATAATTTCGAATTTCATCTGCAAACTTATATATCACGTTACTCTCTAATACCGTTTAAATTTATCGGTATTGCTAATGTCTTTATTGTGGTTGCTCGTCAAAAGTATGAAAACACATTAAGTAAATGATCGCAGGTTTTCGAGAGGAAAAAGAGGAGGCAGGTGTTCCGTCAACGATTCTAGGATTTTTTCCCGCGATCTTAAGATTGCGTTTTTCGTTTCTAAGTATTATAGTTAATGCCTGATTGGTCGTAAAGATTAGAATCTTCAATTTCCTTAATTTATTCCTGCAAACGGTACAAAAATACCGTAGCATATTCAACTTGCAATCCATTTGACATTTTCTAGTGCTAATGTTTACACTAAGGACACATAAAGGACAAGGGAGGAAAAAATGGGATCACGATGGAATTTTCGGCAGCATTTGACAGTGATAGTTTAGTGAGTTCGCGGCACTGTTTTTTGTGAGGATTGGTCAAAAAATATGTCGGTAGAAAAATTTCGCAGTCGAAAAAATGCCACTCGCGACCATGATGCGGGGTGGTATTGCGAGGAAGATTTTCCCACTAGTCTTTTCTCTCTGTGAGAACGATACAGCCAATGCGCGAAGTTTTTAATAAGGGCAACGAGATACGCGCTAAATAATTTACTTAGCAGTAAATACCATAAAATTCCATGGCACAATTGATGTGGGCTGGATGAAAGTGACCGTGTGGCGGCAAATGATGGTTTTGCATATATTGATGGGCTGTATATCAGTCCGTCGGCGGTTCGAGATACGGTATTTCGCTAGTGACATTAAACGACTCGAAGTAATGATTCAGGAACTCGAACGTGGGTCGCTTCTCAGGGCTGGCATCCCAGCACTGTAGCATCAATCGATAGATGCTGTCAGGCAGCGGATGGTTTAACGGTTTCGGCATACGATAGCCCTTGTCCACTTGCTCAATCACTTCGCGACCATGCATACCTGAAAAGCAAAATTAATACGTACATATATTAGTAAATCATAAAATAAAAATACCCTGAATAATAATATCGGGTAGAAGATACTCACCGGGATAAGGAACTTGTCCGTAAGTGAAAAGCTCCATCAGCAAGATTCCGTACGACCAGACGTCACTCTTGATGCTAAACCTACCATAGACAATAGCTTCTGGTGCAGTCCATTTGACAGGAAATCTGCTGCCCTGCTTTGGACAGTACTCGTCATCCTCGATTACCCTGGCGAGACCAAAGTCGCAAATCTTTGCCTTATTCTTTTCGCCGATCAGCACGTTTCTCGCTGCAAGATCCCTATGTATGAGCTGCTTGCTCTCAAGATATTCCATACCGGAGGCCACCTGAGCTGCGATGTATATCAAATCCTCAAACTGCATGTATTTGCCATCTCCCTTCCGAAGAAAGTCCAATAGGCTACCGTTGCACATGTATTCTTGCACAATGTAGATGGGCTCTTCCTTTGAGCAGACCGCGTACAATGCAACTAGATGCCTATGTCGGAACTGCTTCATTATGGCAGCCTCTTGCAAAAATGCCTCGGTCGACATAGTTCCCGGACGTAATGTCTTCACTGCCACTTCGATCTTGTTTCGCCATTTGCCGTAATAAACTTTGCCGAAATTGCCATTACCCAGTTCCGAGATCAACTGTATCTCGTTCCTATTGATCTCCCATTTATCGCGTAACTCGGGCCCAAGATCCCACATATCTGGCTGTGGTTTTGGACAGGGCTTTGACAGTACGTGACAGAGGCCCAATGCATTTTCTAAATAATAAAAATCCTTAAAGATAATATCATGCAATATAGAGATATCTTGTTAACTTGACTTTATCTCCGAAATTAATTGAAGTATCAATATTTATTAAAATATAAAATCTAATAGTACTTACTACTGTACGCCATAACAAGAGCCGGTAAGCTGGAGAAGGTTTGATTGGTGGCGATGAAGAAGCCGCCATTGTCGAGTGGCTTAATTTTATAATGTTTCACGTGATGGCCCCTTCCTTCTTCCCAGTCTTTCACCGACAAGCTGTAACCCCGGGGATTGTGCTCGCTCGGCCTCACCAAGAATGTACCGCGAGGATTCTCGTCGACCAGTAGTAGCTTGCCCGCTTCCTTGCGCGACACATTTTCAAAGAACCAACTGCGAAGAGCGCGATTTGAGTATATAATATTTCAACAAAAGTCACGAGGAAGAAAGAAGAAAGAAAACAACAAATACTCACTCTTCGCTTTCAACCGATCGTTCGACGGCCACGAAGTTCCAAGGAATCAGGCCTTCCTGTAGAGTCGTCAGATGCAATACTCTCCACCAATCCGGCTCGGAATCGTCGAGGACCTCCATTCGATCACCTTTCACGAAACTAACGTCGGTGCTTTCTCGCGCTGTGTAATTGTACAGAGCCACCACGATCTTGTTGGATCTTTGTGAGTGTGCTAGAGATTGCGGGAAGAAAAAAAGCACATGTTATATATAGTTCATCAAATTATTCTCTGAACAATGGAGCAACTCGAATCGATTAAATGTAATTTAACTTTGAAGAACTTATATACTAAAGTGACTTTGAGAGGAAATCCATTTTCATTATTTTACCTAAAGAATTGGGATATTTAGAAATATATAATGTCTCGATTTACAGATATACACAGACATTAAATTTACATTCTAATTTTATATACAGATTATTATTTAAAAATTTTTATATAAAATTTAACTTTATAAAAAAACTAATATAATTTTAATGAATTTCATTCTTTGATAAATACGAAAAAACAAACTTAACATCAAGTTTCATTTTTTTTTATCATTGTCAATATTGTTTTAAACATTATTTTAAAATTTTTATGTAAAATTTAACTTTATAAAAAAACTAATATAATTTTAATGAGTTTTATTCTTTGATAAATACCCAAAAATAAATTTAACATCAAGTTTCATTTTTTATTATTGTCAATAAATATAGAGAGTAATCATTTTTACGCGTCGAAAAATGATTTAATTAAAATTAATCGGTTCGAGTTACTGACAGAAACATTTAAAAAACAAATCGAAACATGACGATTATTAAGCAATTTTATAATAAAACTCAAGACTGGGATTACTTATAATAAATCAATTTCTCTACCTTCGCCCAGACGGCCATTCTACATAAAAACAAAAAAAGAGTAACATAAAATACACACATGCAGATTTAACAGGCGGATTCGTTTTACGGGGTTGTTGATGCGATATCTGTAGCTTACAGGGTGTTGGCCTCGGTCGGATAATATCCGCCCGAGCTTGCACGCCTCTCTGATTTGGGTCGGCGGTGTATCGGTCCAAGGAACCTCCATTGCTGTGCTTTGAGCTGAGTCCCGTCTCTGCCTTCTTATAACCTGAACAGAGAGAAGAATCCGTCTCTCGTCAAAGGGGGGACCGATCCGATGAGAAATATATCTTTTGTTTGTACGAATCTTAAGTAACAAACTCTCTCGACCTGTTTACGCACCGCCTGATCTAAAATAAACATTTTTTTGAGAATTTATCCCGGAAGTCACAATATCAATGTATGAAGATTTAGAATAAAATTGAGAAGGCAGAAATTAGTAGTAATTATATTTAACTGATACAATTACTATTCTCTTAATGTGAAAAAAAACTACTTACTACTACTCGCCGCATCTAGCTTTTAATTTTTATCTACGACTTCAAAATGATTATTTTAGTTTTTCGAAAAATTAAATTCGATTATTACAGAGAGAGAGAGAGAAAGAGAGAGAGAAGGGGGATTTTTTCTAATCATAATAATGCAACTAATCCACTTTCAAACATTTGTGCTGATAATTATTAAAATAAAATAACAGAATAATTATTTAAACATACATTATTGGGATTATATTATAAGGATAAAACAAACTCACCGATCGGTTGAGGCTCTTGCCGTTTACTGCAACACTTCCCCATGCTGGATCTCGTTCCTGATCTGCGCGGATCTTACGCACCTTCTATCCTGGATCCATTTGCTGGACAAACCTCCATCGTCCGGTGAAACTCGGGCCCGGATGGCTTGCGACGTGATGTATCGCTATGAACTCTCAGAATCCTCTCGTTAGTCTATCCATCGCCGTATTATCAGACCTGCCACTCCTGCAACATAAGGCAGACAAGATCTGTCGTGATTCCGTGCGAGGATTATTATCATGGCAATAGTCACAGGATGCAGTGTCACGATGAAGGCTCATGAATTACAGTCATTTGACAACGGGAAATGTTACTATGCTTCGATGAAGTCGATGATGTAATTGCGAAGTCGTCGTAAGAGGATATCGCAATGACTAATTACAGTATTATTAATAGCATCATGCAATTATTATTTATTATTACTTATTATTTAAATTATTATTATTCTCCGATTAATCTCTTCATATAATCGCATCAAAGTTTTCTAAAATAAATGTCAAAATAATTTAAAAAATGAATTAAAAGATCAAAAAGATTACACTATTAGTTTCTTCTTTAAATTCTTGTAAATATTTTAAAATTTAGATAATTTTTTAATGAGATTAATCGACGACAATGTACATTTTGATTATAAAACCTCGAAGATGGAGGCAACGTTTATAAGAATTGTGGAGCGACAAAGAAAGAACTCCCATAAAAATCTCCGAAAGAATATCCTCACCAACGATCGACGAAATCCATGAGAGAGCTTGCGACCAATTTTACTTTTTGTTAACGAAATATTTACCGCTGTTCAAATGAAAGAAAATATTCATATAAAGAAACGAAATCAATAAAAAAACTGTAGACCACCGGTGCCAAGATATCGCCAAAGTATCATATACTTCCCGATCATTTTCATATCATTAAATAGAATGAACGATGTCGCTCATCCTTATCAGCAACATCCAGAGTTTTTAATTAAACAGTCAAGCCAAAGAAAAACGGGTTATAGGATTTTCGAAGAGAGCACAGTCGAGTATATAAATATATGAGATGTTCGATAATTGACGTATGTGTATTGTAATATCCGACGATATTGTCGGAAAGTATAAAATAATTTTTGCTCTACACAAAAATGTAAACGAGATGTAAACAGGTCTCAACGATATTTAAAATTATAATTATAAATAATTAATATTATATTAATATTATAAATAATTATAATTATAAATTTATGCTTACAGAAAATTTGATCTCGTCCAAATTATATTTATTTGTATTCTATTTTTTGAAATAAAAAAAAACAGAATTTTGATGAATTGTGCTTTATAAATGTATAAAGATATAATAAACTCTCTTAATTTGTTTAAATTTTAAATAAACCTTAATATTCTTTAATGCTCTTCATGTTTGTTTTACATATATAATAATACTTAATTTAAGAACTTGAAAATGAAAATTACGGAAAAAATGGTGCAATTAATTGTCATGGAAGAAAAAATTATTTCAATTATTTCAATAGTCGGCCCTGCTTAACGAATGCGTCCATCCGACCATCTCCGTGTTCACGGACACGAGAAACAATTGTCGGGGATCGATTTTGGATGTGGGTCGGTCCTACCCTAGTGCCGAACCCCGCGGAAGCGGTTACGTACGACCACCACGTTGTCTCTTCGTTCGATTGGTAGAGCTCGAGCATGAGAAACCACTATAGGACAAGCTGTGTACACCATCGCTAGCCCCTATCCATGTTTGTATGTGTGTACTTATGCAACGGGGTAATACATGAGTAGCGAAACGATCGATATTCCACGGTGTGTATTCGCATATACTATACGATATGCACTCGCCATCCAGCAAAGCTTTTACGTGGCGAACAATGCGCTTCTATCATGAACAAAGACATATTAACGTAAACATCAGGACGAGACAGCATGATCTAAACAATCGTCGCCTCTCGCAAGAAGTTGTTAAGTTTCATAATAACGTGGAAAATTGTAACAAATAAATTTGAATAATTACAATATTATCGCAAAGACTTACTTAAATTCAATATTTTTCTTATTGCAGACATTCGGTTAAATAAATTTTCCGCCTATCTAAAATGTTGTGATATTATATAAAATTTGACATTGAATAATTACTAAAATGATTGAAAAATGTCTAATTTTTTTTTAAGAGTATAAGATAAAAATTAGCTGGAGAATCCTGTTTTAATATAAAACGCGAATTTCGCGACTCATCGTATAAATAATTTTTATGTATGTATATATAACAAAATTTATATTCAAAAGAATTATAAATATATGGAACAATATATGAGTGATATCAAATATGTAATTTGTTCTCAAATCATTATCACTAGCATACTTGTTCTTTTACTTCTGTTTATGATTTCGTATACGACAAAGTATACTCCATCCTGTTTCGTATGATAAGTATAACACGTATTAAAACGACGTGAAAATTTACCGGCCAACGACGTCGCGTGTAGATACTAACCATAAAAATAGATCGTAAAAGTGAGAGAGTAGTTATTGTGATACAAAGTTCTCTTGATACAAAGTTTTTCTCTCTCTCTCTTTTCCTCTATCTTGGAGTAACAACTTTGTTGTTTCCTTACAGATCGCACAACTTTCCACGTCGTTTGTAAAATTAGAAAACACGGTCAAAACATCTTAAAGATGACAACAAAGCGCACTCTCTGTTAAAAGATATAAAAAAAATATTATATACACACACATGAAATATCCCAAAATCATTAGAATACCAATTTAAAAAATGTAAATTGTTTTCAGCTTATTATTACTGATTTCCCTTGTTTTCAGCTTATTATTACTGATTTGTTTTACAATTACATTTAACAATCTTTAATATAACAATTATTTGTCATTATTTTTTTAAATTATTATTCATACAAAAAATTATTTCTATTATCAAATTTTTTTTTAAATTACTTTTATAGTTTTCTCCCTTGATTAGAAATATTTAGAGAACATTTTTCTCTTTCACTTATTAAACAAAGTGAAAAAATGCGTACGCGCGCGCTCCCCTTTTGCTAATCTTATTTTCGTACTAATCGATAGCGCTTACGCGTCCCCGAGGTAGACAAAGGAGCAACCATTGCGAAGTACAAGGTAAAAGTTTGCGCGCGTTGAAATTAAAGATAGAAGAGAAGGTATACGTGAATCTCGAGTTATCTCGTTGACGTTACATGGGTGGAAACCTAAATGCGTCATCTTTATGAACATTGACTAAATCCAACCAATGCTTTAAATTGATCTGACACTTGACATGTGAGACATCTAATTGAAGAATTTAATTCGCGAAAGTGAAATCGTGAAAATGAAAATTATCAAAATATTTGATTCATAATAATAATCGTATTAACATTTTCCACTTAATTTATTTCACATATTATAAATCACTGTACATGTAAAAAATATAACTTGAAAAAATATTGAAATTTATTTCTACTGGCGAAAAGAGATAAAAGTATAGAGATTACGAATAAAGTTTGAACGATAGATTACAATCACATATTGGAATCTGGATTGAATGATGGAGTTTCGAAACTTCCTCGTGTCATGACAAGGATCGCAAATGACTATAATATCGCACGAAAAGTACGAATCTAGCGATTTGATTTCTGTTTTTAAGCGATATTAATCTTCCGCTCTATTTAAAGTTTAAGATGTATATAATCAAAAATCATTTAAGTCTCGCAAAATGATTTAGATCCGCGTACTTCATTTATATATCATTATTTATAGAACAATCATAAAATTTTATTCCGATTTAAAAGTTTATTTAAAGTTCGAGTTTATAACTTTAAATTATATATATTTATTTATTTATAAAATACTAATTGTTATCGCACATTTTATAAAACTTGCAATAAAGAAAATTCAGACAAATTCCAGTTCTTTCAATTATCTTTTAAAGGTGAGAAAATTTAAAAAAATGTTTGCTTTTATTCTCTTCACAAGGAAAAGATTAATTTTTTGTTGAGCAGTGGAATTGGCGGATTTCCGTTGAAGACGTGTCGTGATTATAGGAGCGGAAAAGCTGATTAAGAAGAACTCGGTTCTCTTTCTTCTCTCGTTTCAGCCAATGTTTCTCAATCGCAAAGCAAAACGGAAATGCGGAAACGTTGTCTATTTTTCCTCGCTGCTTAGCAGTAAGACAGACAGGAGCCTCTCTCATAATCGCACGATACGCGGTGTGTGAAGGCAAGAAGAAATGTCCTTGTTTTCACATTTTAATCCTCGCTGTTCGCGCTATCAGCTCTCCTCCTCCGAGAGAAGAAGTCCAGACTTTCGCCAAGTGTGTAATTCATAAAACATTCAGGTTATAGTATGATGGAGGTTTTATTACGCGGCAAAACGCACGCTGCTGGATTCTGTTTTTCACCTCGATCTTTAGTACCAGAGGAAACCCCGGCTTCTTGTTGGAGCTTTCAATTGCACAATGATATATCAAACCTTGACGCACCATTTAATAGATAAATGAATACGCTTGAGAGAGATTTTAGTTGAAATTCAAATTAATGACGTTTAAAACAATAACTAAATATAATCGATAATTAATACAGTTACTATAATAATTAATAATTAGTAATAGATCGAAATTGCGATTTTATTTAATTAAACATTGATGCGGGTTATTGAAATGAGATATTTTGTGCGTGTAAAATCAACATAAAATTTAAACAAATATAATTTATTATCGCAAGAAATGTTGTGAAATAATATATCGTGAATAATATGAAATAATGTATTGAATATTAATAATGCCATATATTATACATAAAAATATGCGCCATTGCTGAAGGATTAATAAATTTATTGAAGAGCAAAAGATAAATTTTTAACGAGAAAATGTACAATAATAAAATAATGTAAATAGACAATAAATTTTCGTTGAGAGATTAAAAATAATATTTGGAAACATCGATTCTATGAAAAAAAAGAAAATGAAAAATTTATATAATTTCTTGTTTACATAATAAAATTTCACAACAGAGATATATAAAATTATTATTCTTCGTTCGTTGTTATTTTAGCAAACAACCAGTCAACAAACAATCAGTGAACAACTCTCAGAAAACTATGAACAAACATACACAAATACTAAAATAATAATAAAACTTAAAAACTTTCGCTCGGCACAGCTCTACGTGACTAACTGGAGAGGAAATGTAC